TACAATGTTAAATAGGAGTGGTGATAGAAGGCATTACTGTCTGGTTCCTGTTCATAAGGGGAATGCTTTGAATATTTCTCCATTAATAATAATGTTGGCTGTTGGCTTTGCATATATGCCATTTATTCGGTTGAGGAATTTCCCTTCTATCCCTATTTTGCTGAGAGTTCTGAACAGGAACGGGTGTTGGATTTTATCAAATGCCTTTTCTGTGTCAATTGATATGATCATATGGTTCTTTTCTTTTGTTTTGCTTATGTGGTGGATTACATTGATTGTTTTTCTGATGTTGAACCATCCTTGCATAGCAGGTATGAATCCCACTTGGTCAGGATGTGCTGTGTTTTTGGTATGTTGTTGGATTTGGTTGGCTAGGATTTTGTTGAAGATTTTTGGATCTATGTTCATAAGGAATATTGGTTTGTAGTTTTCTGTTTTAGTGGTGTCTTTCCCTGGTTCATAAAATGAGTTTGTGAGTATACCATCTTTTTCTATGTTCTGGAATAGCTTGTGTAGTATAGGTGTCAAGTGTTTCCTGAATGTTTGGTAAAATTCTCCAGTGAAGCCATCAGGGCCAGAACTTTTTCTTGTGGGAAGTTTTTTTGTGACCTGTTCAATTTTGTCCTTTGTTTTGGATCTATCTCTGAGTGGGATAGTTTAACTATGTCTTGTGATTTCAGAAACTTGTCCATCTCTTCTAGGTTCTCAAATCTGTTGGAGTACAGTTTTTCATAATATTCTGTCAGTATCTTTTTTATTTCATTTGGTTATATATATATTTACTTCAGTTGGTTCTGCTGAGATGACACCATTTTAATTTACTATTCTTGTAATTTGCATCTTCTCTTTCTTTTCTTTTGTTAGTTTTGCCAATGATTTGTCAATTTTGTTAATCTTTTTGAAGAACCATCTTGTTTTGTTGATTTTCTCTATTGTTTTCTTGCTTGTTTTTTTTTTTTCTCTTTCATTTATTTTTGTTTTGTATATATAATAATTTCCTTACTTCTAGATACTGTATGATTCTTTCGTTGTTCTTTTTCTAATTATTGGAGTTGTTGAGTTAGAGTGTTGATTTTGTTTCTTTCTTCTTTTTTTATGTGTGCATTTGTCGCTATAAACTGACCTCTGAGTACTGTTTTCACTGTGTCTCATAGGTTTTGGTTAGATGTATCTTCATTCACATTTGTGTCTAGGAATTTTTTTGTTTCACTTTTTATTTCTTCTATAACCCAGTAGTTTTTGAGATCAAATTTCTTTTGAAGAAGCCCAAGGTTATGCTAAAATTTTAAGTATATTTAATTTACTTGGGAAGTTGTACATTTGTGTACATTTGGACTTTTGTCTTGTTTTGTTTTCTCCATATATATATATATATACACACACACACACACACACACACACACACACGTTTTCCTTATCTTTCTTTTAAAAAAGATAAGATTAAGTATGTTTAGAAACTGAAGAGGGCAAAAAGACTCATTCTTCAATAGGGTAGTATGTGAACATGTTGGAGTCTGAGATACATTTGATGGAGAATTCCTGCTCTACTCTATCACTGGCAGAAAAATAAATACAAATTTAATTGTAACTTACATAAATCATGAATACATCATGTGTAATTTAATGAAACTTTCAGAACAATTTGATTAAAAGCTATAGTGCTTTTGTAGTTACAGTTACAGAGTGTAATATGCCTGTAAGTGGTGGGCTTCTTTAGTAGGAATAATAATAATAAGAGCTAAAATGTAATTGAGTTATTTTTATGGACTAGTAGTGTTACACATGCTTTGCATGCCTTATAGAAGTTATTTTACATGATTCTACCCAACAACCCTATGAGGTAGGTATTATCATTATCCGCATTTTACACACAAGGAAACAAGCAGAGAGGTGATATTTGCCATTAGTCACAAAGCCATTTATTGGAACAGATAGATCTAGGCAGTTTTCCAACCCATACTCTCAATGCTAGAGCTAAGGATGCTATAGACACTAGAGTGATTAGAATCAGGCAACTTCTCTCCTCTTCCTTCTAATCAGGTCAGTTAATGCTCTTTTTGATTGCACCATCCATGTAGGCTGTCAGCTCCCAGCTCCCTGGATGCACTGCTGCTATAAATCTATATGTTTCATAATCAAACTGTTTCCTTTAAAATGGAAAAAGAAAATTCTGCTATCAAATAAGTCCTTATAAATTAACACAATGCAACTTGTTAGGGAGTGTCCAGAGAGATCTTTGAAAATATTAGATGGAGCCCATTTAAAAATTCTGCAACAGATGGTTCATTTCCCATTAGCAAACAAAAGATCTGCTGCATCACCACACAGTTTCAAGTTATATAATTTTCCCCTGCATATGAAGATTTCTACTTGTCAAAAAGAAATCTTCTCTTCAAAGAGAGAGAATGAAAAGCTTTTTGAAAATTACTCAACTGGAATCTAAGTGATGTGAAGCATATGCTGTCTAGGAGAAACTGGTCACTCTACCCTAGTTTCAAAAGAGCTGTAGATGAGAGGAAACTAAGATATAATTTCTCTGAATGGCTGGGTTGGAAGAAATTCCAGCAGTTTGTGTTTATATCTTTCAAACTTCTACCATTTTACTTTTTTTTTAATACTAATTTTTTTAAAAAAGGAAAAATATCAGAAAGTAACAGAAAAACATAAATCTCCAATGTTTAATTCCTACTTCTATGTGACACTTTTTGTAATTTTTCTAGTACACATTGATTTCTCTTGTATTTTCTGCACTTAATTTCACATTTACTGGTACCTGTAGCTATCAAGTTAATTCCTGTTCATGACAACCCCATGCATGTCAGAGAAGAATTGTACTCCATAGGGTTTTGAATGACTATTTTATTGTAAGTTCATCATGAAGCCTTTCTTTCTAGGAGTCTATTGAACCAAAAACCAAACTGGCTGCCATCAAGTTAATTGGATTCACAGTGACCCCTCTTGGGTTTCCAAGGTAGAATCTCTATGGAAACTGATTGCTCAGTCTTCCTTCCGAGGAGTGGTGATGGGTTTGAACCACCAGCCTTCTGGTTAGCAGTCAAATGCCTTAAGCACTGTGCGTGGACTCAAACCTCCAACCTTTAGGTTACCAGCTGAACATGTCAACAATTAATACCACCAAGGGACTCTAGTTTCACATTTGTTGTTGTTGTTGTTACGTGCCATCAATTCATAGCAACCCCTCTTTGGGTTTCCAAGACAGTATCTCTAGGGAAATAGATTGCCCAACCTTCCTTCTGAGGAGTAGCTGGTGGATTTGAACCACCAGCCTTCTAGTTAGCAGTCAAGTGCCTTAGGCACCATCTTACCTTTCACTATTTTGCATTGCTATCTGTATATTCTGTTTCTCTGTAAGTCATTCACAGACTCTAATTAAAGAAGAGTCATTACTTCTTGTGTTCTGGCTTTCATTTTTCTCAGTAACTGTGTTCCAACAATAATTTTATTTTTCTCTTCATCTTCCATCACTCTTTGTTCTCATATGTATGTCTATATTTTTCAGCCATTCATGTACCAGTAAGGACATGTTGCTTCTATGTAAGCAACAAACAGAAAAATAATTACCATTGTAAAAAAAAATATTTTGCTAGATGGTATTAAATCATTTCTTACAATAGAAAATATGAGATTGGCTTTTTTTCCCCTCCATCTATTAATATGCATTTATGGGCCACCAAGCTAACAACTTTTAGAAATGATAATTTTTAAAGCAATGCTACTCACAACAAAAATATCTATTACTGTCTTCATTTAGAGCAGCAGTTTCTAACATACACATTTGAAAACTATTTCAAAGTAAAATTAATGGTAGGCCTCCATGTACTCAATCTTGTGAGAATACAGGTAGGTTTCATCTGGAGTGATTATATTCACTTAACATAATAATGCTTTATAAAAATAATTATCTTTCAATGAGGAATCTATGTTTGTCAGTAGAGAATATTTCTGTCACTTGCAGGCTTCAAGTCTCAGTGAGACTGTGCATTTCTTTGACCATTCTAATCATGCTTTCTTATCTACAAAGGTGAGAAATACAAAGGGATGGTGTAGACATTCTCTGATGTTAGTGTACTAAAAGACATTTTCAAACTCTTAGTTAATTAAGACATATAACTTTATTTCTCTTATTTCTTTAATGTTGCTCTTTACATTTTTTAAGCCTCTAAACTTCATTCTTTTCCATTCAAATGATAGTCAGAAGTTTCATTTCATTTTGTTTTGTTTTGTTTCCCTTTTCTCCTACAGATCTTTTTTCTTACTCCATTTTCTACTTAGTCCTTGGAAGATGGAGCAATGATAAAGACTTATTCCTGATGTAACAGTTAACTGTGTTATGTTCAAAACACCTTAAAGAACACTTCACTTTTCACTGTGGTGTTTTTTTTCCCACAGAACAAACAGAGAAACATATCCAAATATATTTGTCAGATTTGCTATTTTGATCTGTTCACACTGAAATTCTAAATCACCTCATGATTTATGAGACTCCAAGTGACAGTCCATTAACATGAATACAATCCCAAAATAAGATCACTAGGACTCTGTAAGCACATGAGTACTAAAATAGTGTGCATTTAAATAAAACAAAATAACCACTTATATTCATAAATCTAATCAGAGATGACATATACACTTTAAACTTATTAAAATATTGACTTATAATAAGTTTAAGGTCATATGTTATGTAGACTAAACAATGGTTGGTAGATGATGATTGACCCCTGTATTTTACTTTCTGATAGACAATAGAGCCTGCATTAACCCATATAGAGTGAAAAATAATTTGGACAACAAAATGTACATGAAAAAATAAATACAAAAGGATGACATGAGCCCTAGACATATGTGTGCATATGTATAATTACTCATAAAATAATCAACTATTTTATCTGATGTGAACTTCTTATCCAGTGATGTTTTCTTTAATATGAATTGTTTCAGTGTATTAATTTGTTTTCTTATTACCATTTCTTTTCCAATAGGAAGACCCACCTGCAGCTGTGCATTAGGATTCACTGGGCAAAACTGTGGTAAAACAGTCTGTGAGGATTTTTGTCAAAATGGAGGAACCTGCAGTGTGACTGCTGGGAACCAGCCTTACTGCCTCTGCCAGCCTGAATATACTGGAGACAGATGTCAGTACTGTAAGTGAGGGCAATATCTAAATCCAGTTTTATCTAAATTTCAGCCACCTCCTATTTTTCAGGTCCACTCCCTCTGTAACTACAACTCCAATGATTCTATAAATTATTCCTCATCTTTCTCTTATTTCTTCCTCCCCAGATTCCATGATCCATTGTTATAATCATGCCCTTGTGTGTACTCTCAACTCTTCCACTCTGTTTTACTTCTATTCTACTTTTTTAGGATATCACAACCACTTCTAAATCCAATTGTTCATCTATCCTCAAGTGGTGTCTCATAGCTGAATACAACAATATAAAAACACAGAAACATACAGGCAGATATCCTTTGAATTTTTATTACTAATCTCAAATGGATACTATATATGACTTGTAGTGTATTTCACTCATCCATTGACTCTCTTACCCTGTCTATGTCATACTTTGTTCTTTCCCTCAAACCTTCACTCTCACCTGAGGAATTGCTTCCTATTTCATTGATAAAAATAACACTCATCCAAAGAACACTTCCACAAGCTCTCATTACCAAACCTCACTAGTTACTTTCTCCTGCACACATGTACTCTGTTTTCCTTATTGTTGGTTGCTAAGAACCCCATGTGATGACCAATACTACATTTTCTACTTTGCAGTAAATATCTCTTAGCCATTCATGGACATATGTCCTGCAATTGTTCTCTTTCTCTCCAGTCTCATAAATGTTTTCCTCCATACATTTTTCTTTTTAGAAAAATTTTCTCTTTTTTCCCACATCTCCATCTAGCTACAACCTAATTTCTCTGCTCCTGTATTTATTTATTTTGACTACAGCATTGCTCTAGAGTTGTTGTAGTCTATAACCCCTCTTTCAATTTTCCTTTTACCTGAATTCAGTCAGGTTTTTATTCTTACATTCTACTGACACATATTTTATTAAAGATAATTCTATTATTTTAGTATCCTGCATATTGTCATAAAAAACAAACTCACTGACATCAATTTGAATCTGACTCATAGTGATCTCCATTGGGTTTCTGAGGCTGTAAATCTTTATGGAAGTAGACTGTTCTATCTTCCTTCCTTGGAGTGACTGGTGGGTTTGAACAACTGGCCTTCTAGGTAGCAGCCAAATGCCTTATTCACTCTGCCGCCAGAGCTCCTTGCATATTGTCATAACCACTGGTAAATTCTTAATTCTTATTTTTACTTCTATTATCAGCAGTTTATCACTCAATACTTCTTAAAACACTTTCATCACTTGTCTTCATTGGCAGTGAGAAACCATTCTCTCTAGTCCTTAATTTTTGTTTTACTATATACTTCTTCTCAGGGTCTCTTTCTGGTTCTCCCTTATCTCTCTGATTTGTAAACACTGAAGTAACTAACATCTCTGCCCTCAGATATCTTTTCTTCTATAAAACAATACTTACTGCATGAACCAAGGATTTTTGTACAAGGTTACACATCACAATCACCTCAATAGATTTTATGAAATGTAGTTTCCCAAACATCATTTCCAAAATTCTGATTCTTTTAGGCTGGTATATCATTTATGGAATTTATAGCTTTCCAGATATTTCATATACACAACCAAAGTTGAGACCCATTGTCTAGATAATTTAACCCAATTGCATGTTTTTTCAAACTGTCCAAATACTAATGATTATAAATGTATATTTCCAACAGAACCTGTCCCCTGAAAACCAGATTTTTTTATACCTAATTTCCTATTTGACATCTTGAGTTAGCCTGATTTTCCTACCCAAACGTATTTCTACCATAGTCTTTCTCATTTCTGTGAAGGAAAACACTTACTGTTTAGGCCAAAAATCTTAGTCATCTCACCTCTCTCTTTCTTTCACATGTTGCTATCACTCTCATTTTACATTGTTAAATATACTCACAATCTGAATACTTATCACTACCTCTGATCTCACCACCCATACCACCCACATCAGCATTTTTTTGCTTCCATTTTGACAATGTAATTTCAATGTGTTCTCTCTATGTCCTAAGAGTCTACTCTAAAAGAGGAGCTATGTTGTTGTTGTTATGTTCCATCAAGTCAGACCTGACTCATAGTGACCCCTCCTTGGGTTTCCGAGGCAGTATCACTACGGAAGTAGATTGCCCCATCTTCCTTCTGAGGACTGACTGGTGGGTTTGAACTGCCAGCCTTCTGGTTAGCAGTCAAGTGCCTTAGGCACTATGCTACCAGAGCTATAGTAGTACTTTTTATTCATACAGGGAAAAAAAAAATACTTTTCATTTCCAAGTAATTTGTGTTCTTTCTGTGTTCCAGGTACTCATAACCAATTTATTTTTAAATTAGTTCTATTATTTAATTATACTAAAGGAAAAGTGTTGCTTTTATTCTCATTTTACTAAAGAGATCACAGAAGAATAGATATTTAAATGGCCTCTTGAATATTACACAGCATGAGGGGAAGCCAAGATTCAAACCCAAGCAACCCACTTCCAGTGCCAACACCCTTAAAAGTTACTAAACAGGGTGGTCACTACATGGTTTTGTATCATTGAGTACCTTACAGAGATGACCTAGGACTCCAGACATTATTGGAACTACACAGAGTAGCATAGTATCAAGCTATGCGCACTAACGTGGAACAAGAATATTATCAAATATCTGTCTCTAATTTTGCAGTGAGTCTACTTCTCTTGCAGCAATGAGACAAATTTCATTTCTAATTAGTGTTTACAAGTATTCATTCTCCTTATATTGAGCCAGCCTTTTCTTGGCATATATAGATGCCATTACCCTAAGCAAATGCCCTTTATCAAATGGCTTGCTCAACTTTGCTCTTAAATGATGTGCATCATAGGCCAGCAAAACTTATCTGACAAATACAATTCAGTTATTGACTTCACTCATTGCTCTGTTCCTTCTTGCTCTATCATCACCCTCCTCTTTACATAGCACAGCAACCCAACAAATTTCCATTGACTAATTCATGAGATTCTTTCATTTCTGTTGCAGCATGCTTATAACCTGAGATTTTCAATGGAAACAAGGGTCAGCACCAAATACATTACTATGTAATGAGACTCCCATGACTATCCATAACTATTTTTGTTGCTTTCATTCTATTCAAACCTCATTGCTCACCCTCCCCCATGTAAATGTTAACTGCCCTGCCGTTGCAATTTTTTTCATACTATTTTCTTCATCTGGAATGTACTTTCTTTGAATTTCTCCTTATACCAATTTGAATGTCTCTTCACACCAAATCCTATCTTTCTGTCTAAACCACTACTTTCTATTTAAAATTGTCCACATATCTCTTGATATGAGCTAATCTATTACTCTTGGAATTTTCAAGTCATTCTTTTGGCTCTGATCAATTTCTATCTAGTATTATTGCTAATTGTGTGTATCTCTAATAGAACACAGGGACCTCTTTGAGGAAACATTTGTTGAATAAATAAATGAACAAATGAATACTCATACAGATGAATAAATGAATAAAATTATGTTGGATACATTTTAATAAAATAAAAATTAATTGATATATAATAGCTACATTGAATGAATATTCAACCTTATGATATTTGTGAATAATTTATATAGAGCAAATATTTATTCATGAAGCCCTCTGTATTTCTTGGTTCCCAAATGGTGCATCATCATAGAGAATCAGTTTTCTTTTATCTTTCTTTTCTTTTTAATTGAAGTATAACTATTCTTGATTTTTTTTTAACTAAAAAAATAATACTATCTTACCATTGTTGTAGCTATTTGGATTTTTAGCATGAATAACTTCAGTTAGCTTGTCTTTTAATTGGCAACTTAATGGAATCATAGTCTGAGGTAGCTTGATGCTTTATAAAAGACTGCATTATAATTTTATTATCACTATTAGCAGTCATAGCACTTCCCACATTTTACTGCAAAGCACTTATTAAAATTAACCAATTAATCCTTAGACAGAGGTTAAGTAACTTGCTCAAGGTCCCAAAGTAGTAATATTATAGTCAGAATTGGACCCCAGGAGTTGTTGATCAAGATGTCAACAAACATTTCCAGATTACAGTGATACTGTTCCCTGGCAGAATAATAAATCTGGAGACCATGGCATTAAAATGATAAATACAACAGCTGACAAATGTGTAATAAATTTAAGATCTATTAGATGTGAGTCGGCAGGGTTCAGTGGGTTTGGTGTTCTGTCAAAATTGTATCTTGCATATACAAAAATCTTCTCTCTATAAGTGAAGGAATGACAGAATGGTTCATTACAGTGCCTAATTAAAGGTCCATTTGTGGGAAGTAAAACATCAGTTCTTAGTTGTGCTGAGTAAAAACATTTCACAACTCTAATGCCAACATAAAATCTTGAGGTCTGAAATGCAAATTAATTTTAACAGCAGCAGCCCAGAGAGGAGAGTCTCAGATAAACAATGACATAAATAAAACTAAGTGTTCCTTAAGTAAATTGTTCAAGAGCATATATAGCCACATCACATGCTATTCTGGAACAATGCCTAGCATAAATCAAATAAATAAATAAGCATGACATTTTGCATTTAAACCTAGGTGCTGAGTATGAGGTCAAGAATATCAGGCATAAAGATTATCTTAATTATCCAGAGCAGCTACAACAGAAATATCACAAGTGGTTGGCTTTAACAAAATTTATTATATCATAGTTTAGGATACTATATGTCTGAATTCAGGATATCAGCTCCAAGGAAAACTTTCCCTTTCTGTCATCTCTCCCTTCAATATCTGTGGGCCTGGCGTTTCCTGGAGATCTCCATGTATCTTGGCATCAGTCTTTCCCTGGGCTTAGGAGGTTCTCAGCACAAAGATCCTGAGTCCAAATGATACACTCTTCTCCCTGGCTCTTCTTTCTTGGTGGTACTTAAGTCCCTCTCTGTCTTGTTCTCATCTGTCTCCTTTTATTTCTCATAAGATAAAAGATGATATAAGTCATACCCAGGGAAAATCCCCTTAAAGGAGATCAGGGTGTGACCTGAGTAAGGGTTTGTGTACCACCCTT